GAGGGGCAGAACCCGCAGGCCGAGGCTGAGGGGCAGAACCCGCAGGATCACTAGCCTTCGAGAGACATTTCCTGCCACCATTGCTATCCATGACCATGGATACGCCTCCACCCCAGGGGCCCGGCGAGCAGAGCCCTTAGGATTAAACACACCCGTCACTATGTGAACATGCAACAGAGCTCCCGTGCTCAGAGCCTGGGCCGGGTGGCCCTGTGCTGGCCAAGGCTGAGTGCCTGGGCGCCCACCCCGGCACCCTCCCTGCCCACACACACAGAGTTGGAGGGCACAAACAGCGCGACTGGCTGGGGCAGCTTTATTTACAAGGGTAGTTGGGCCTGGCCCTGCCTGGGCCTTGTTGGGCTATGTACAGTGTCGGGGAAATGGAGGTGGGGTCACCACCATTTAAATTACAGTGGCTGGGGGCTCAGTGGCAGGGTCAGGCTGGGCTGTGGGTCCTCACCGGAGGCCTCTGCAGGGGTCAGGGCTGGGGCTGCAAGAGAAGGGAGGGAGTGAGGGCAAGGCTGGGACCTGAAGGGGTGGCAGGCCTAGGGCAGCTGGGGTGGGCAAGGTCCCCGAGGGCCAGGCTGGGCAGGTGGAGGGGGGGCGGACAGGAGCAGCGGCAGGCTGTTACCAGGCCACCTCGGGAGGGAGCGAGGCGCCGCTCACTTCCTCTTGATGGAATCCTTGTTCTTCTCCTTGTCTGCTGACCGCTGCTTCTTCATCTTCTCCTCCTTCTTGTTCTTACTTTGCAGGTTCTCGTACACATCTTCCTTGTGCCTGCCAGGGGCACGGGGCCGGCCGTCAGCTCGGGCCAGGAGACAGACCCTCCCTCTGTCCATCCAGTACCTGCGGGGTCCCACCACCAGCCCCTCTCGTGGGGAGCACCCTGAGGCCAGGCAAGCAGGGTGACCTGACCGGTCTCCCCCGACACCAGACCCGTGTTCGCACAGGCCGCACGCGGTGGGCGCTGGGAATTCTTGGGCCCGCGTTCAGCCCCAGGGTCCCCTTCAGAGGCCAGGGTGCAGCAGGCAGGCCTCACTCACTTGGAGGAGGTCCGGGCGGCCTTGGCGTGAGCGTTCTTCATGGCTGGGGGGTAGGTGATGTTCCCGTACTCTGACTCCTGGCCTGTCTGGGACTGGACACAGAGGGGTGGTGGGGAAGGGTGGTCCAGGCAGAGCCAGGTATGGCCCCGCCCCCCAGGTGTCAGCCCCTCCTCCACCCCACCCCCACCCCGCTCTGCGCACCTGCATGACCTCCAGCTTCTTCTTGGTGGTCTCGATGAACTGAGCGATGGCCACGTAGATGAACTTGTACTGCGCCTCGGTCTGCACCATGCCCGAGCGCTGCGCCCGCACCATCTGGAT